CTCTACTGAGTTTCCTCCTGCCTTTTCAGGAGGACATAGCTCACAAGAGAGTAAAGTTTGTGAGGTTATAAGATCTAGTGAAGCAAGAGTTGCAATGGTGGCTGGAACCAACCAGGTTTGTCATGGGAATGCCTCTGAGGGACCCCAAGAGACTAGTAGTAACAACGGATGCCAGCCTGTTCGGTTGGGGGGGTGCACATTTTTGGGACACATGATGCAGGGAACCCGGTCACAGTTGGAGTTGGCCAGGAGCATAAATTTTCTAGAGTTAAGGGCAATAAAGTTGGCGCTGTTTCAATTTCTGGGATACCTGAGGGGACATCATGTCCTCATTCACACAGACAATATAACGGCCAAAGCCTTCATAAACAAGCAAGGGGGAACCTGCTTTAGGAGGCTGAGTCAAGAGGCTGCACAGGTGATGGAATGGGCAGAGCACAACATTCTGTCTCAAGGCTGTGCATGTAGCGGGTCAAGAAAACGTAGTGGCAGACTGGTTAAGCTGTCAGACAGTGGACCAGGCAGAGTGGATGCTACACAAGGAAGTATTCAACCAGATCTGCGAAAGGTTTGGTGCGGTGGAAGTGGACCTGTTCGCAACGGCGCAAAACAAACAAGTGGTGGCATTTGTGTCAAGAACAAGAGATCCCGGTGCCATTGGAATGGATGCTCTGAGTCTGGACTGGCCAAAGGGGCTGCTATATGCCTTTCCTCCCTTTCCTCTGATCCCAAAGGTGGTCCAGATCGTGGTAGATCAGAAAGCCAGTACGATTTTAATTGTGCCCTTCTGGCCAAGATCTGCTGTGATTATCAGTAAGGGATCCGTGGCGTCTGCCACGAAGAGTCGACCTGTTGATGCAGGGACTGACCTTTCACCCGAGACCAGAAATGTTGCAGTTAGCAGCCTGGAGGTTGAAAGGCGGCAGTTGAAAGGCATGGGGTATGATGAAGGGGTGGTTTCCACTCTGTTAGCCTCAAGGAAAAAGTCCACAAATTCGGTGTATAATAGTTCATGGCAGGTGTTTAGGGCCTGGTGTGAGGATAGGCGGTTAGATCCGCTCTTGGCCAAGGTGCAGGATATACTAGCCTTCCTACAGCAAGGGTTAGACCAGGGTCTCAGTACGAGTACACTGAAGTGATAGGTGGCAGCCATCTCAGCTGTGAAAGGGGCAAAGAGAGGTAGTCCCTTAGGAGAGCATCCTCATGTTAGACATTTCCTGAGGGGTACTTCACATTAATCCTTCACAGGTACATAGATTTCCCTCCTGCAATCTGAATACTGTCTTGAGAGCCTTATGTGAGGCACTGTTTGAGCCCATGGCTTCTTGCACGGTGAAAGTGCTCACCTTTAAAACAGTTTTCCTGGTTGGCATTACGTCAGCTAAGAGGGTGTCAGAGTTGTAAGTGCTGTCTGTACACAAGGATTTGTGTGTTTTTCATAGTGATAGAGTGGTACTGTGTCTGGACCCAGCCTTTGTACCAAAAGTTAACTCTTCTTTCCACAGGTCAGAAGATATTGTGCTTCCTTCTTTCTGTCCGGACCCCAAGCACGAGAAAGAGAAGGTGTGGCATCAGCTGGATGTCCGTAGGGCACTAAGCTTCTATAGGACTAAGGGGTGGTGGAAAACGGAATCCCTGTTCGTGGCCTTTAGAAATGCGGTGATGGGTAAAGCTGTTTCCGCTTCCACTATTAGCAGGCGGATAAGGGGGTTATCATTGAGGCATATAAGGCACAAGGTGTGGTTCCTCCTGAGGGGATTACAGCTCACTCCCTAAGGGGAGCAGCCACGTCAGCTGTGTACAGGGGTTTTCTGTCCTTAGACATTTGGTAGGAGGGTACTCCAACATGCCCTGTGAGGTGTGGAAGTCGTCATACCCACCATGGGGAGTACTGCTCTTTTATGTCCCAGGAGTTATGGATTGGAGGACCGCCCCGCTTCCAGGACCACCAGAGACTTGCAGATTTTGTTCACTTACCATGAAGCTTCCTTCTCAGTGGGGCGGTCCTGCCCGCCCTGTTTGGAGGGAACGGCTTCCACTTCTCATTGGGGGATATGTTGTCTGTAAGGGTTGGAGTTGAGTGGTGTCTGAGTAGGGGATGTACAGCGTCTCTGTTGATGTCAGTTATTCTGAAAATCTATTGCGTCTGTGTTGTTGTATTCTGTTGCAAATAAAGTTTAAAGGTTGATAATTACAGGCCTCGGTGCACTTTTTCCCATCTGGGAGGAAAGTGGGTCTAATGATTCCTTGTTTTTTTTGTGTGTGTGTCTCTTTAAAAGTTTGGTTGCATGGCTGTGGTAGATAGACTAGAGTGGTTGAGAGAGGCAAGTGTGGTATGATTGGTGGTTGACAGAGAGGGGGAGGAGTTTTGGAAGTGAATCTGGTTGGATGAATATATGAGTCAGTCAAGAGTGACAGTTACAAGTTGACAGTTGAGACAGACAGTTCTGTGTTGAAGCAGTTAGCAGCTGACAGCTGAGGTTGTTCAGTGAGAAAGAGATCTGAAAGCTGAGTGTATAGGAAAAAGTAAAGTTAAGTTTAAATGAAGAAAAGTTAAAGTCTGAGTGTCATAACAAACTGGAGTGAAACAGTGAACATATATGGCATTGAGATAAACAAGTGTTACAAAGTTACCTGAAAAGATCCCGGTCAGTGAGGGAAAAGATTGAGTGTGATACCAAAGCAATTGTACATCATTTACACATTACTAGTTACATTGTATCACCCTTTTATTTATGAATTATTTCAATAAATCCTCTTTTATTCAAGTTTATACCAGATCTGAATGAAATACTTCCCAGGACCACATAGTTCCTCGTAAGCCTTAAACTCGATCTACCAAACTAGTAAGAGCAAAAGTAAAAGTATAAAGGTTTGGAAATCCTTAAAATTTCCTGGTGGCAGCAGAATCTACCCTGTTAAACAAAATAAAGAGAACTTTTAAAGTGAAACTAGTCCTCCCCAATAAGGAGGACGTCACAGGGTCGTTAGTTTTTCGCAGATGATGGGGAGTCATGAGGCTTGAACTGGGCAACCAGAGGACAGGCCCCTCCCCTCCAGTATCAAGTTTGGCCGGCCCTGCAAGTGGAGAGGAGGCGCCAAGTCCCAGGAGTTATGGATTGAAGGACCGCCCCACTCCTGGACCACCAAAAAGGAAGCTTCACGGTAAGTGAACAAAATCTTCCATTTTTGTACACATATGCATGTATTTCATGTTAATTATCATGATCTAAGATTAGCAGGTGAGCACAAATACCAAGACGTAAGGAACTAGGATCAAATATAAACATTTATTTTATTCACACCCCTTTGTCTCCCAATGGAAGTCCTGAACTGGCTTTTTCTCCCTTCTATTTTATTCTCACAATAACCCCGTGAGAGGTATGCTACACGTTGCTGAGAGTGTGTGATTAGCCCAAGGTCACAGAGCCAGTTCCCACAACGCAATGGGGACTCCCAGATCCTAGTCTGACACTCTGACCCACTACACCACTACTTACGCTTAGGACTGCCCCACTCCCAGGACCACCAGAGAAATGGTAATACCATGGTGGCGGAAAGTGTAATCACGTCATAGCTGAACCCTGCAGGGGGTTTTCGAGGCAAAAGATGAACAGAGGTGTTTTGCCAACCCTGCCGCTGTGGAGCAATCCTGGACTTCCTTGTTGGTCTCTCATTCATGTACTAATCAGGGCCAATCCACTTAGTTTCCAAGATTTTATAAGATAGGGCTAGCCTGGACCACCCAGGTTGGGGGAATAAAAACTTTGCAATAACATGAATTCAGAAACTTTACAACAGAGAAATTTGGAACACTCCTATTCTATGCTCTTTCATTCTCTGCTCACATTTCTATAGCAAAATTGACAGTACGGGACACTTTGAAAAAGCTCTCAAGCATTGACATTTTCCTTTTTACTCAAAGCTGTTATCGGTCAGGGAAAAACTTTTAACTGGGTCATGCAAAGCGTGACGTTCATTCAGATGACACACAGAAGACATTGCTTAGGTACAAGATTGGTTTCCAATGGACAGTGATAAAATCCCAATATGTTCAGTGAAGACATTTTCTCAACCAGCAAAACACTGAGCATTCTAAAACCATCTAGCCTAAATTGATGAGCAACAAGACAAGAGGGAGATTGTAAAAAATGCATTCCATTTTAATAAAACTAGAAAACAAGAAGGGAAATTCAGGGGTTACTTTTTCAGAGGAGGCTGGGACGAGACCAGTAGCCAGGCCCTAGTGCAATTTCAAAGAAAACTGTTCAAAAGTATAGATTCAGGTGGGGCAGCCATGTTGGTCTGAAGCAGCAGAACAAAGTTTATTTATTTATTTAGGGATTTATATCCCGCCCTACCCGTACAGCCCAGAGCGGCAACGCCGGAAATAAAACATAGTAAATACAGACTAAAATGGTGCTCTACAGTTCATTTTAAAGTTCAAGATGGTAGATATCCCTCACTGGCGGCCGATGGTCACATGAGCGCCAGAATGATGTTCCTCTTCTGGGCGGCGACTGCCCCCATCCAAAGCCAGGTAGATGATAAATCAGCCACGATGGTGGTATAGTGGCAGCGGCGGCGGCTCCTACTCAAAAGCCTGGCGGAAGAGCTCCATCTTGCAGGCCCTGCGGAACTGCACTAGGTCTCGCAGGGCCCTGATCTCCGCCGGGAACTCATTACACCAGGTAGGAGCCGCCACCGAAAAAGCCCTGGCCTTGGTTAGGGCAAGCTTGATGTCCCGGGGGCCTGGTACCTCGAGGAGGTCCAGACTCCCTGATCGCAGTGCTCTTGGGGGAACATACGGGAAGAGGCGGTCCCTCAGGTAGTCTGCACCCTGGCCATTCAGGGCTTTAAAGGTGAGAACCAGCACTTTGAAACGAACCCGGTATGCTATAGGCAGCCAGTGCAGCGCTTGCAGCACCGGCCGGATGTGGTCCCTCCTCGAGAGACCCATCAGCAGCCTAGCTGCAGCATTCTGCAGTTGGAGTCCAGTGGCACCTTTAGGACCAACCAAGTTTTATTCTGGGTGTAAACTTTCTGAAGTGTGCATGCACACAAGCCAGAATTTTATAGTGATCAGTGGGGACAGCAGAAGGTTCATTAATGTACTTGATTTAAAAACCATTTCAAAATGGCTAAATTTCTCCCACTTTTTGCCATAATACTGGTATCTTACAGCAGCAAATTTTTCTGTCAAACACTGCCTTACTGTATATATTAAAAAAAACAAGATCCCCAGAAAGGAAAATGTGATATGAATTTAATGACAGTCTGTACAAAGCTATGCAGTAAGTGTGGTTCAAAGCTTCTTCTCACTTTTGCCAAGTGTCCATTTATCAGCTATATTTCCTATGCATCCGTTTGCTACAAGGTTACTTGCAAGCTCTCACTGAAGGTTACGAAGTCTCCTTCCCCTTCACTCCTCCCAAGAATGGCCACCAGGCCATTGTAATCAAACAGCTTTGTTTATGCAAAGTTGCTCTGTTTGCACCAGAGAGAGTATTCATTGCTCTTCACAAGGCATTCCAAATATGAAGTCGTCGGGTAAGGATTCTGGAACCATCTGTGCTAACTGATCATCATAAGCTCGAAGAGTCCATAACTTTTCTAACTCATAAATTTCACGTGTCTCTGGCAACATAAAATGGACCACAATACTGCCTATGAGAAGGGAGAGTCAAAATAAGCAAAGGGTGGCTAGATAAAAACTTTCTCCTAACTAATGGTCTTAGTGTGCATATTATACAGTCTTAGCTTTGAAAAACTTCAATTGTATGCTCCAACATATAATTAGCTGCCAGTGGAGGGTTATGGTGGCTATAGATTTCCCCTCCAGTAGACCCCTTTGACCCTCAGAAAGATGATGCCTGGAATTAGGGAACCTCCATGGACCAAGAACTCCAGGTTGGAGGGGCTGCAGTGAGAAGAGGAAAGCAGGCAATGGCAATGTCATCCTTCTGCCAGTATCAGGGGATCAAAGAGGAACTGCTGGGGGAAAAGAAGGCAGGGAATATATGCAGATGCTGTGCTGCGAATTCATCGGTTTCAGTTTTTGTTTTTGAAATTGTTACATTTCAGTTTAACAGATGCATTATTTAATCTGACAGTACTGATGGTATATTAGAGAATTTATTGTTTACATTTAATGTTTTGATCAACAGAAGTGTTCAATCAATAGTAATTGGCTATTTGCATAAAATGCATGTAACAAGACGCCCATCATCAGAACTTGAAAGGGGGCTGATTTCCATCTAATCTCCTGCCTCCACCATCGGATTCTTACACAGTTAACTAATAAGCATGATTCAAAGGCATACAGCATTAGTGTTTAAGTAGCAACTAAAACACACTCTTGAGTGGCTACAGCTCAGGAGTAGCGTGTCTGCTTTGCACACAGAAGGTCTCAAATTCAATCGCCAGCTAAAAGGATAAGGTGGTCGGTGATATAAAAGATGAGACTACCTCAGACTACCTCAGACACTAGAGAGACATGGCCAGTTTGAGTAGGCAATACTGATCTTGATGGACCAGTGGTCTAATTCAATATAAAGCAGCCTCAGGTGTTCACGTGGAATAAAGTAATTTTGGATGTTGTAAAAGCCTGTGTCAACACTAGCACAGATGTTCAGGTGCAAGAAGACACTTTTCAATTGACATGTATTCTTGCAATAAGTCACTCAGCAAGGCTTTGTCTAATGCAGTTATGTTCTGTTAAGTTCCGGTTTTACTGTATACCTCCAGTAATAAATTGCTTCATATCGACAACTTAAGTACTGAATTTATAGTTTACCAAAATCGATACACAACCAGTTATCGGTCTCTTTTCCTTCAAGAAGAACATGAGGTTCAGAATCAGTCTTCAGATGCTTATACTGAAAATAAAGAAAGAAACCAGGCTGAGGAAACATGCTTCGAATGATAAAAATGAAACACAGGAAATTTGCAATTACTAGAATTAAGCTTTCCAAGAGCAATTTACGCTTTTCATTGATCTTTGCATAGACTACCTTTGTGTGTTCCTGCTCTGAATTAACAAATATCCCTTTCTCAATGGTATTTCACCTTAAGCATAGTTCTAGAGTGTTTGTGCAGCTCCACCCACAGTTCCTACTGCGGTACAAAATACCATCTGATTTTAGTGTTCAGCAATATAAGAAATATCCAGACAAGAAAGAGATTGGCAAACCCAACAGAAGGACTCTGAAGAGGAACTCTGGGAGGAGGAGATTGGATTTATACCCTGCCTTTCACTCAGAGTCTCAGAGCGGCTTACAAACTCCTTTCCCTTCCCCTCCCCACAACAGGCACCCTGTGAGGTAGGTGGGGCTGGGAGAGCTCTGACAGAAACTGCTCTTTTCAACAACAGCTCTGATAGAACTATGGCTTGCCCAAGGTCATCCAGCAGCTGCATGTGGAGGAGTGGGGAATCAAACCCA